GGGCTGAGTTACTAGTAAATCCTCTGGAATGTGTTTATTGGTTCAATGTGTAGTCCTTGAAGTCAAGATCAGATGGGATAGATTTAAAGTCACCAGCTGCAGTTAAAAGTAGAATCATATTACAGGAAGTCCCTAGTCTGATCATGTTTAGGATCTGGAGGTTGCCTTGTCCTTTTGAGTTCAAGTTCATGTTGAAGGTAGCAGAACACAATTATTTTTTTATATAACATCCGTGTCCATAATATCACCAGGGTCCATAAAGCGCCACCTTGAGAAATAGTGTGCTTTAAGATATTTTTACTGCAACATACTTTTGGTATGCACTCCTGCACACCTCAAATGTACATACCTAGGGTATGTTGCAGTAAAAATATCTTTAAGCACACTTTTTCTCAAGGTGGCCATATTACATGTATGGACTATGGTGATATTATGGACAAAGATGTTATAGCCTATGTAGGGATTTACAGGGAAGATGATATAGGGAAGATGAAGTAATTTTAAACTGAAATATTTACCCTTTTTTGTGTTGGAATTAACATTTTAAACATGCATAATGACTTCTACCAACACAGATGAACACCGTTAAGGAAAAGAACTACACGTAACAGTTACTGTAAATCATGACTTTTCAGTGGTTTTATTTTGCAGTAGGAGGGAAATTTTGGGAGGTTTTCACAACGTTTTAAATTTATGGCTGAAGCAGCCATTCAATGAAAACATAATTTTATGATTCAATCTCATAGTTTATTATTTGGGGCTCCATGTATGATGAAAATGAAATCACAATCAAGTACACAGTCAATGATTCTCTGTTTGACAAAATTGACTGTCGCTGATAATTCTACCACACTCTTGAAATCATTAAACATTCCTGCAAATGAAGCAAAGAAATCCTTACCTTTAAGTTAAAACACCTTATGCCAGTATCCCTGTAGTTAGCCTGGTAGCCTGTAGTTAGCATCAATATGAAGTCATCAAGCGTCCACCAAAACAGAAGTGAGTCTGACTGGACAGCACAAGATACGCACACACGACACTCTTCCAGTCTGCCAACGTTGTCTCAGGTTACCCTGGTCTTATCCCTCCAATCTAAGGAAAGTCCTTCTCTTCCCAGCTGGAGTCTTTTGAACATGAAGCTGCTACACAGCAGGATATCCTGCCACCATGAACTTGTTTGTCTGAGATTTAAGACTTAGACTGAGAAGTAAAATGGCCACAGGACAACTATACCGTTAGGGTTTGGATAAGAGTAGACAGACCTCATTTGCACCCGACCGTGGGCACACAGGACTTACATTCAGGTCACCCCAGAGGATGTTGGAAGTTATTCCAGGCAAGCTGAAAGTAGTAACTGTTTTTGGTAACCTACTGGTTTCCAGTTGGTGGCTGCTTACTGCTTTCAATCATTCTAAAAAATGTACAATGTACTAAGTTAAACATTTTGTTAGACATTGATGCAGATGATGAAGATGATATATGTTTTCAATTGGTAGGCAAACATTTTGTAAATCACAGGGAAAACTAAGTTGTCATATTGTTAGGAGCTAAAAATGTTTCTTAATAAAATGTTGTGGGAAAGGTTCCAAATGTTCTAATTAGTATTCATACACATCATGCTTCACTTGTACACTGTACATGGCAACAGCTGCTTTTATAAATTTATATAATAATGATTATCAGTGGACATTCAGAAATTTTTTTATCATTTATAGTCATCTTCTACTTATACACAGAGGATATTAATACTGTTGATATTTTATGCACAAAGAAGAAAGAAAAAGTGACAGAATTAGAAAAATTATGACCAATGGAAATCTGGTAAATAAAAACTTACAGAAAGTGTGTGAGCAAATATGTTTTTATTTCCGATTCTGTTATCCGATATGTTTTTAGCAATATTGCAGAATGTGAACCCATTAATGAGTCAGTGATAGCCCTTTTGTGCTGAAATAACCATAGGTTATGTTTCAGCTACTGTATGAATTATACATGAGAAGAGTTTCTTGGAACATACATGTAGGTTGAAGTGATGTTACAGTATTGATCTGTGCCTCAAGCTTATGGCTGTTAGAAGCAACTAGAAAATGATACAAAGAAACATATTTCTTACAATTCTGTTAACTTCTGTTATTCTGTTATGGAAGTATTGTTTTGGGTGGCTGAGCTGTAGGTTTGTGTGTGTGTGTCTGGATAGAGTAGGTTGACAGCACGTGGGTCGGGGAAGATTGACAGTCAAAATGACAGGTCAAAAGGTCAGACACAGGAAGTGGGGATGAACTTCAGAGTAGGTTTATTTGTATAATGATCGTACTCTAAAGTCTAACTTTTAAATCAAACTGTTAAGAGCAGTGAAGAAAATTTCAAGTCAAATTAATAGTCAATAGCAATTTTAATATATATATATTTGTTAAAACACCAAACAAGGCACAATTTACTGCATCATTGCATCAAGATTTCTTGAATACCCTTAGGTGAACCCAAAGACCCTTTTTACATCTTAATCTTCTGTGAACAGCTGATTATTTTCAGACCAGATTAGTGATCCTGGCTTCTAAGCCCTTGGTCCTCAAAACTGGCATTGACCTCCCTTGACATCAATTAGTAACTGTTACATGTACGAGTACTGTAACACTGTCTACATTTACAACCAGTATTTTTATATTGTTGTCCATCGATGTACATAATATGAACAATGGACAACAATATAAAAATACTGGTTGCAAAATGTAGAGTTACAGTAGGTACTAGTCGTAACAGGGTCAAGAGAGCTCAATGCCAATTCTGAGCACCAAGGGCATCCATGTATATAGCAAGTAAGGAGGGGAGGTCGTGGTTGGAAATTACATACTGTAAAATGCTACAACTTTTGCGGTCAACCTGGTTCGATTTTTGAATTTGTTTTGTCTTTCTACTGTACTATAATTATGGAATTGTTTCAACCACAAACTTCAGACACCATGAAAAAACTCTCCTTTTCTGAGATGTACCCCAAACTAAAAGCACTGTATAGTAGTAAATGCATGACAGTTAAGCAAGACGTGTATACCATCCCCTTTCTTGTGACATACATTTTGTTCATGTATTCCCTGGACCTTTACATCAGGACTAGACTGAAGGGAAAATCCTTCTTTTTACAAACCTTATGTCAAGACAGTTTTTTATCAGTATCACAGAGTAGTATTATTTGTTTAAGTTAGTACAATATAAAATACTGATAAAATTTAATGAGCTGTTTGTTGATGACTTAGCTGTGTTAACTGATCACCATTCTTGTGTTTATTTGTACTCTTAGGAGGAGCAAAGACTGAATACATCAGACTTCAGGTAAGCTATCAGCTCTTACCAGCAGATACAGGTCCATAATAGCACATCTAGAATGTTGTAACAGCGCCACCTAGATAATGACAATTGAATTACAGCCTGACCGTAATGGTAACCATTGATCAAACCAAAATGTTGAGGAAAATTTTGTATCTGATAGATTCCAAAATTAGCTGCTATAATTATATACTAACAGTTTGCTGTCACAGATTATGTATAACATGTAGGAGTACACTTTATACAGTAGAATGCGTAATCCAGTTGTTAGCAACCCTACCACTGGACCAAGAGTTTGGGAGTTCGAATCCCGGCTGTTGTTGCTCTCCCAAAAGGGTTGCAGTAGGATAGGACTTAATGCCATGTGGTCCACTGTTCATTGTACTTGCAGCTAGGGGAATTTCCCTGGTACAATGAACCTGTAAATACCGTACATTTTTTGTACATAGCGTCTGTCTTCTCTGTCACGACCAGTGGGAGATCAGTGAGCTCTTCAGTGAGCTAAAGTGGATCAAGATTACATCATTCTGAAGTTTCCAAAATCATACAGTACAGGCCACGAAATACGCATCAAGTTCTGCGGGACGTACCGCGATATTCCGCAGGACGTCCCGCAATATTCCGCAGGACGTCCCGCAATATTCCGCATGACGTTCCGCAATCTTACGCACGGCGTTCCGCAATCTTACGCACGGCGTTCCGCAATCTTACGCACGGCGTTCTGCGGTATTTCGCACGACGTCCCGCAGTGCACCTGAGAGCACTTTCGCAGAACTTTGCGAAAGTTCCGCAGAACACCTCTCCGTAAGGCCGCGTTTCCGCAGAAATACGTCCTTTTCATATGCAGGCCACCCGCGCCGTGGGCGGAGAAAGATCACACCCGGTTTGTTTACATTTTCTATAGCGCGGAGTGAAAATGTTCATGAGATCTGCCGATATTTTTTACCCAACAGTGAAGATCGTAAATTCCTGAGCTAGAATGTGGTTTAATAGATTGAGTTAAGATTTCTACCTCTCTGAAACGTGCATGTACACAAATATATTTATCGAAAACATGATCGCTGTGGTCTGAATTGTTACAGGGTTCTAATTAGCGGGAGCTTTGTTTCTTGATCTTGTGTTTCTTGTTTTGAAACCCACGCTGATCGCGGAACACTTCCCGGTGGAATGAACGCCAAAATTGTGTCAAATACACAATAAACCCACATACAAATACAGTATATATGTATTCCCGAAAGATTCTTTCAGTCCTGAATTTATTTACTAGAATAGTCTATTTTTGGTCGTACAAAACAAAACAGCATTTTGAAAGAAATACATAATTTTACTCTTCGTCCGTCACCCCACGCCGCCGCTGGCTTCCGAGCAACACCAATCAGTTTTTAACCGTAAAATTTCGTACAATTCGCAAAGTTCCATTCTGGGATTTAGATGTTTAAAAATATACATTCTAAGGAACAGTTTCGTAATGTAGTTTGTGTGGTTTTGAGTTAATTAGCGCGAGGATTGGCGAGAATGCAGAGGGTTCGTAGCGGTGGACGTGTGTTGCACTCGAGTGGGAGGGAGCGCTTCGTAACGTGCGTCCAGAAATGCCGGACAATTTTGATCGTGAAAAATCGTACAATTTGTAAATATAGCGATCTTGGATTCGGATATATTGAGAAATACATTTGTAAGGAACCGATTCATGTATTGTTTGTGTAGTTTTGAATAAACCTGCGCGAGGATGTAGAGGGTGCGATGTAGTGGGTGCGATGAAAATGGAGTCGATTTTTTTGCCAAAAAAAAAAACGGCAACGCACCCGAAAAATAAATAAACACGGTACGGGACAACCCGAACTTGACGTGTTTATGCAAAATTTGACGCAGATTCATTTGTTCTCAGACTATAAAAGTTGACTCTGTGAAAAAATTTTGGGATGAAATCGGGACAAGAAAATTACAAATCTGCGCCGGCCGTGCAGGGCGGAACAAGCTACAGTCGTCTAACAATCTTCAGGCGGTGTCTCTGGGCGGAGTCTCAACTCTTCTGCGGCCAGTCTGGTGGGCGGGTCCCCGTCTGCGCGCTGTGATTGGCGCGCCGGAACGCCACGTGGTCTGCGGCGCCAGGGAGTCTACCAGTGCCGCTGCTGCTACGTGCTGTTACTATGGCGACGTGCGTGGGAACGCCCGGCCCAACAGCGTGGCGAACGAAATGTATTAATTTTTGATGCGTGTCAACAAAGCCATGGGGCGTAAAGAACCCTTGAATTATGCTTCGCGCTTGGCACAATAATATTAATTCTCATATGCAAAAACGTTAGTTCGACTCTGAATATTACCACGAGTCTTCCGTCAGCAACAACAAACGAACGCCTGAATCTATACACGTACACTCGAATAGAGAACCTAGATAATACTAGTAACGTTAGTAGATTATACATATAGTCGGTAAAGATCGGAACTGTAACGAAGATAGGCGAATATAAATTTGTCACATAGACACCAATCACAGAGCCTCGGTTATAGTCGGTGAAGATCGTGTTTGTAACGAAGACGGGCGAAATCATTGGAGCAGCCCAGCTAGACTGTTGGCGCCGACGGCAGGGGCGGCAACTTCTTTAAAGGGAAACGCCTGTCGATCAAGTATAATATGTGCGTGTGGCTATGGGAAAATGCCTCGCTCTAAAATGTATCACGTAGTTCTGAATCGATAATCACAAACAGCAAGGAGCTTCTACAACATATAGCGTCCTTGCAAACAGGGACAATATCAAACTTCGTTATTTTTGGCCACAGAGTCGAAGCATTTAAAGCTTAAATTTTAAAAAGTGGTTTCTTCGGCGAAGTCATGCCTTGCAGAAAATGTTGACGATACACATTACGTGTTCGACCGCAGGTCATTGACCTCCAGCTTGCGTTGTTCCAGCGGAGAAGAGCGTCTGGCAGTTTTTATAATAGCGTCAGATTTTGTTTGTTAAATCATACACAGGCATTCATGCATCTATCATTCTTCCAACTAGTTCGTAGTTATGTGAGATGTTTATTGGAATCACACGGATCGGAACAAACTCAGCGTATCAAATAGTAAACATCAATCGCCCAAGCACAGCCGTGGCAGCGTGGACCCGCCGCGCTGATAATCCCCGGTATTGTCCACAAATTATCAACAAATACGTGAAAATGAGGTGGAATAAGTGTCATGTAAATCTCAGAATACAAAGGCTGCTCATTAACGACTGAAATCTTGCGAAAGATTTCTTACGCAGAAGAAGTTTCGCAGCGGCGTTTCCATTACCAGTGGACAGTTCTGCGAAATTCTGCGGGACGTCCCGCAATCTTACGCACGGCCTTCCGCAATCTTACGCACGGTCTTCCGCAATATTTCGCACGGCCTTCCGCAATATTCCGCACGGCCTTCCGCAATATTCCGCACGGCGTTTCGCGATATACCGCAGGACGTACCGCGGTATTTCGCAGAACGTCCCGCGAAAACTGATGCGTATTTCGTGGCCTGTGCTGTAATTATCCAGTTGCTTGAGTAACTGCTTTTTGGCAAGATCACATAACTTTATCAATTTTACCAGTTTGCAACCCACCTTTGACTGCAGATTCCTACATGTATATGGCCAGCTTACATTGTATTCCTTTAGCAAATCATTCAGTCTTTTTGGCCAAATCTACATGTAACATCTGTGTCCATAATATCACCAGGGTCCATATAATATCGCCACCTTGAGAAATAGTGTGCTTAAAGATATTTTTACTGCAACATACCCTTAGTAGGTACTATGTACATTTGATGTGTGAAGGAGTGCATACCAAAAGTATGTTGCAGTAAAAATATCTTCAAGCACACTGTTTATGAAGGTGGCGATATTATGGACCCTGGTGATATTATGGACACAGATGTTACAAAATACTAGACTATGTCTAAGTACAAAATGTGTAGCATGCACAAGTGCTATAAAATTTAACGAACTTGAAAATGAGCAATTCTTTCATGTTTAAAGAGACATTAGAGATATCAGTTTAGTTTCATACATTTTGCGACTTCTCCCCCACTTTCAGTAACCTGCTGAACAAGGACACGTTCCACCGCTCACTGCTGGCCTGCTCTGTGGAGGTCATTATGACAACATACGGAGTCTGCTGTAAGTACAAACAGCCAATGGCAGCACGTTGGCAGAACGTACTGCACCTGCACTAAACCCATAATGTAATGTGATAGCACTTTGGCAGATCATCATATAAGGTTGTATTCGCATACATGTGCACTATATACATGTAAGGTTAACATCCTATCTGCAGTTTCCAAATATTGTGTTAGAAAAGATATCTTCTGCAACAAGTAAAATTCTGATGCAACGTTTACCAAAAATACAACAAAAACTGAAAAATCAGAGTTTCGCGCAGGCGCAGTACGTTCTGCTGACATGCTACAAATGGCCCTATCGTAATTCCCCATCACACATAGCTTATGATATGGCCAGTAGGTCTGGAGCAAGGTCGGCTGTGGTTAGTTGGTGTTCAGTGAGGTCAGCCATTTATTTTTCAACTGCATCAGCCGAATGTTTCAAAATGTTAAAAACATTGCATGTGGAAAACATTGCAGGTGGACAGGAAGTTTGGCTATGGTTGGCCAGTGTTCAAGATTTTAGGTCTTACTAGTTGGGGCATGGATGACAGTTAGATTTGAATCAAATTTAGCCCAAACTTGATTCTATTCGTATCCAAATTTATATCATACCCAGGCTGCGATAACGTTCGATAACGGGTTCCAGACCAGGTTCTACTTTACGGTACGGACCGGTCCGGAACCCGTTATCGACCGCTTCCATGGCTTCCATAAAACGATTCGAACGCGATTCGCCCTATCCGCGAGTGACCCTTTCGAAAATTCAAATACAGAATCAGGACGTTGGAATTGATGTTGTTACATTTTAGGGACAAGTGGCATCAACTTTTGGCTCATCTTGCATTGAAAGGCGTGTTTTCTTGGGTGGGTATGACACAAATAAAATGCAACACGGTGTATTCCGCATCGCCCTCGATCCCGGCCCTCCCGCGAGTCGGATACCTCGGGCGATACGGAATACCCCATGTTGTATTCTATATGTACAATAGGCGTGACCTAAATCTGTAGTAGGGCATGCAATTTACACGGCTTTTGCATAAGTTATAGCCAATGGGTTATATGGCTTTTACATGGCTTCAATCATGAATTGAAAGCAATTTACACAAATTTTGCAAGTTAAAACTCTGTGTGAAACATGTGGGAAGAGAAGTTAATCGAGATCTATATTTATTTATTTATGAAACAAGTTTGAACTGCAATTGCCAACACAAGAAATTGGACTTACCAAAATTTCCAACTGTACAACAGTTACTGTTACTGTAACAGTACTCTTGCCTTTGTCAAGGAATCCACTGCTTCTGTGACGTCATGCAGATAACACACGTGACTCTGTGAGCAGTGGATCATAAAGGATCTTGTGTTGGCAATTGTAGTTCAAACTTGTTTCATAATCATGATTTCTACCAAGTTGAACACAGTTAAATTTTAAAAATGAGATCTGTACAGACTGTATATTCCTGAGCACGTCGTCAGATTGTACTGCACCTGTGTGTGGATATCAAGCTTCAGCAGAACGTCTCATATAAGATCGTATTCGCGCATATAAGGTTAACATCCCGTCTATAGTTTCCAAACGTTGTCAGTGTCGTAAAAGATGCCATCTGCAACAGGCAAAATTCTGATGCAACTTTGACCAAAAATCCAACAAAAACGCAAAATTCTGATGCAACTTTGACCAAAAATAAAAAAAAAAAAACGCAAAAAAATTGTGGTTTCACGCAGGCGCAGTACGTTCTACCGACGTGCTGTATTCCTGACCCATAAGTGTATTTCAGGGACCCCCATGTTGTACACCATGGCTACCACGGACACCAACACGTCGTTTCCATGGATACTGGATGTGTTTGAGCTGAAGGCGTACGACTTCTTCAAGGTGCTGGAGACCTTCATCCTCGCAGAGCCCAAACTCACCAAGGAAGTCATCAAGGTCAGCCCTCAGATGTAACAAGCTCTGGCATTGGTCAGGAAGATGTTAGTCTAAGAATGGTGTACAGAAAGTACAAAAAGGAGCGAAAGGTAGCGAAAAGAAACAAAATTGAAAGAAATATTAAGAAAAAAAGCAAATAAAGTAGATTGCCTATATTATCACAAAATACAAGCAAAGGGAACTGATCATGAGTAACGGAATAAAATACATCATGAGGCAGTAAAAAGATGTTCTGAGTAAAGTCTGGAATAAGTTGGCAGTAAATTACAATATACATTTTTAGAATGCATCCAGCAAATTTTTGTTGTGTTTGTGTGACTAAATTCTTCTAGTACGGGACTGCAGCTGGGAGCTATGACCCTTGAGTGTTTTTCAGTTAATTTTGCCAAATTAAAAACGTGGATGAAGTGAAATTGGTTGGTTTTGTAGCTACATGTACAGACATGTACATGTACATGTATACTACTATCCCATATGGATAATATGGGATACTGTAGTATTGATTTTTGGGCTATAATTATATTAAAAGGTTAAAGGTTCGTTGTATTGTCAACTATTGGGCTGGCCCTAAACAAACATGTCATGTATGTAATCTGGAGACTTTGACTCAATTAAGGCGAGGCTGCCACATATGCAGGAAACAAAGTCATGGCGGCTGCACTGACAACTTTAGAGACACAATTCTCTGAAGAACTGTCCTGCAGCATCTGCCTGGAGCTGTTCACCAGGCCCAAGATGCTGCCCTGTCAGCACACCTTCTGTCAGGACTGTCTACAGGACCATGCAGGGAGGGGAGGGACCTTCCGGTGCCCAAACTGTCGTCGTCAGGTCTTGCTGCCACCCCAGGGGGTCGCAGGTTTGCCAGACAATCGCATTGTGGCCAACATGTGTGAAAAAATGCAAGACCAGGCAAAAATGAAACCACCTCAGTCTGGAAACAGGTGCAGCTATCACCCGTCAGAGGAAGTCAAGCTCTATTGTAAACAGTGTTACTTGCCAGTCTGTACTGAGTGTTGTGAAGAAAGCCATGATGGACATCCAACCACAGGCCTTAAAAAAGCTGCACAGGAAAGGGGGTCAGTCCAGGCCTTGATCAATGAGGGGAGGAACATTCTGGAAGGTTACTGTGGCTTCCTCGAAGGACTTGGGGAAAAAGAGAAAACCCTGAATGAACAGAAACAACAGAGAGACAACAACATCATTCAGGCTTATAACCAAACAATGCAGACAATGGCACAAAAACTTACAGAGAGAAAAGACCTCCTCTTGTCTGAATCACAGCAAAATCACAGCCAGAATTTGGAAGAAATACAGATTGCAAGACTCGGAGTGTTGGCAGATGCCAATGAACTGTCTGCTGCCTGTGATCAAGCAGAACAAGAAATGGAGAAGGAAGGGCTTGCATTTCTTAGTCAGCAAACCGCTTTGGCAGAGGTAGTAGGAAAGTACAGAGGAAAAGCAGCACCAACTCCTGTACAACACCAGCCTGCTGTCTTTGAGCCCACAGACACCCCAATGCCAGTATTGGGACATGTGACGGTCCAGTCTCTCCCATCTGCACCAATCCCAGCAGCACCTGCAGCAAGGGGCACAAATCATCACCATCCACCTAACCAAAGGCGAGGGGAGCATCAGCCTCAGAGGGTGACATTTGGCAGAGAGGGATCAGGAACAGGGCAGTTTCAGGGTCCACGTGGTGTTACAGTGTCAGATGAAGGGAAGATCTTTGTAGCAGATAGGTGGAACTACAGAATCCAAGTCTTCACCCTGCAAGGAACATTTGTCCACCAGTTCCCAACAGTCGTGTCAGGTGCACAGAAGATGTACCCACGTGATGTGGCCATGGACGGGGAGGGGAACCTGTGGGTGGTGGGGAGTAAAGGCTCTGCTGAGTTTGCCGTGCAATACACCAAACAGGGCAGGGTGCTGAGGAAGTTTGACCTACAGAAGTCAAGGTTGGACAGAGGAGTTGCCGTGAACACCAGAAAGAACCACATCCTCATCACACAAACTACAGGAAACCCAAACAACAGACATGGCGAAGTGCAGGTGTTCAGGCCAGATGGGAAACTTGTGAAAACTGTCGGGGGGAAATTTAAGAACTTTGTACGTAGGCGGCAAGGGATGAAGCACCCAGGGTACATCACAGTAGACAGGGAAGGGAAGTTTCTTGTGTCAGATGGTGACAGTAACTGTGTTTTTTTGTATGACGAAGACAGACAGATTCAGTTCCAGTTTGGAGGTGAGGGCCGTGGTGAAGGTCAGCTGAGGTATCCCCGTGGCATCTGTACAGACAGTGCAGGTAACATCATCGTGGCAGACGGGGGAAACAGACGTGTGGAGATGTTTGACAAGACAGGAACATTCCTCAAACACATTGCTACAGACATGGAGAGTCCACAGGCTGTTGCCATGGCAACACAAGGACAGCTGGTGGTGACTGATAATAGGAACCAAACAGTCACCATATTTCAAAACTACTGAAGCTAACTAGATGTAGGACACCACAATGCAACGAATATGCAGTCATGTGTAAATTAACTTGACAATCCTACTGGGCAATGATTATTGACTAAACATTCGTGGTTAACTAGAAGTGTTCCACAACCTCAATACATGTAGCTTCGCCAAATAATGTTAACCTTAAGTTTTTGACTGACAATTACAAATTTTATGTTTCTCATAGTTGCAAGCAACATCATGTTCACAACCCAATGACAGTCTTATCCTAATTATATAATAACAAAGGAGGCTATTCTAGATCTGGCACTTCCTCATAAATTATACAAATAAGGTCCTGATTAGAATAAAACATATTTAATGATGTTCCCTTTGAATTCAGTTAGTTCTAAATGCCACAAGACTTAGTATTTCTAAAATTCCAGGCAGTTACCACTATAATGACATTGTAACATTTTTCTTATTTAATATGCAAATTAGGGACATATATTATACATAACTCATAATCTTCCAATGTTCCTCTCTAATCATTTTGAGGTCTCATTAAGGTCTGTCCACCTACTGAATATCAAGACAAACAAGTTGAAGGCCTTGCTCCTTTTCACTCTTTCTGTACTACCACCCAGTAAGGAGGTGACTTCTTTTTTTTGGACAATTTGGAAATTGAACTGTTTTGAAGAATTGTCTACATTATTGAAATTAACAGAATTTTCACTTGTACAAGGTACTAAATGTACAGTACAGATCTCGGGATAAGCATCAAGTCCCGCGGGAGATCCCGCGGGAGTTTGCGGGATATCACGCGGGAGTTTGCGGGATCTTCCGCGGGAGTTTGCGGGATCTCCTGCGGGAGTTTGCGGGATCTCCTGCGGGATTTATCGGGATATCCCGCGGTACGAAATCCTCTCCCGCAACCCCGATCTTCGGTGTGAGACCTTTGGTTTCCGAAGGGCCGGCGCCGCTGTTACTTGAAGTTGAACCGCGTTGACTACAGATTTTTACGCAGACGATGCGTGCATGTTTTAGTATGTTTTCAATGCATGCAAATAACAGTAGAGCAAATAGTATTTTTAACCAAACATTTCTTTTTTTAATATCGGAAATCTGGTGGCTTAATAAGGTACAGAACGATAACAAAGTAATACAACCTTCTTGAACAAGTTTTGTGTCCGGCCTTGCGACGTGGACGGCTTTATTTTGATGTCACCCGACCTGCGCTATTTCAGATATAACTAATTTTTAAAAATCTAAC